ACACTTCTTTTCTTGCGAAATACTTCTATTCTTCTGCCAATTTTTCCTCCTGTGATTTATTTTAATACAGTTGTTCTTCCTTTACTTGCTTTTTGTTTACCTTTACTTTCTTGTGATCTAATTTTGTCCTTTATTTATCACTTTCTTCACTTAAATCTGCTACCAATTCTCTTCTGTCGCTCTATCTTTCTTCTTTGTTTCCAGTTTTTGATTTGTATTTTGCCTTTGCTTTCTTCTTTATTCCAGTCTTTCTGTTTTTTAACATTTGCTTGTTTCCTTCATCTCTCACTGCATTCTGCCTTTTTTATTTTTTACCTCACGCACAGTAACAGCAGACACATGTATGTGCAGCATGTATCAGACAGTGTGGGTGGAAAGGGGGCTGTAAGACACATGCATCAGTGACAGGAGGAATTGGCTCGGTTCTGGGTCTTTTCACAAAAAGAAAAAATCCATCCAACAGTTTCTGCCCAGCCTTTTGAGAGCAGCATGATGCAACAAGCCTGCAACCTGAATGTGAAAAAACAAACTTAAAATCTTTTTAAAAAGAAAGAAAAAAAAACTCTCCATCTTGTTACAACTGAAAAACTTTAGCTGGGGGATTTTGTGGCACTGACAGAGGTCGGTTGCTGCAGCCACCCTGCCTTTTTGGGATTCTGTAGAGTTTTTAAACGAGTGCAGCTGGAATTTTTTTTAAAGTGTAATATTTAGGGAGGAGTCCTGACTGATGTCAAGAAGGATGGAGGGAGTCTGTGTTAGCCTCAGCTTTAGGATGTTAAACATTCTGTTGGGTTTTATACATACAGCAGCTGGTACTGGAACAAACAGAAGATATTAAGATTTTACTTCATCTTAAAATACTGACATAAAAAGTTAAAGCATAAAGGTTTTATACGGGCATTTTCTTATCACAGTATGGCACAGAAAGTTGACTAATAACTCAAAGCTGTTGGTTAAAGGTAAAACAGACACTGATCTTTATAGTAAACTAAACTTTTAACCCTTCCTCCTTTATCAGACTTTTAAAAGYGAACTAACAACAACAGTATTTCCTCGGTTGTATTTCTGGTTCTGATGTAATAATAAGCAACACAAAAATAAAGAAGGATTAGCAACACTTGAAGGATTGTATATCTTTCATGCCAGAGTTTCAGGAGCTCATCTTGAGGAAGGTTAAACTCTGTAACCTTCGACATCGCAAAATCTCTTTGAGCTCGAAGTATGTGTTGAAGATGACTCTCAGCWACTGTGTCACATTTTAGCTCAGTTTCTGTAGAACTGATCGGGTGTCAGTATGTTTGTGTTTGCAAAGTTCAATTTACAGTGGTGGCCATCTTGAATGGGTTTGACTCCTGTCTCCATCTTCTTCTTCTTCTGCTTTTCCTGTCCCCGAGGCAACAGGACCAGGAGAGAAACTTATAGACATCCAGCAAGTTCCAGGTCTCGCCTGCGGTCTCTTCCCACTGGACAGTTTCAGGGATACTGTTTAGCCCCGCCTACCAGATATGACTCACAATGATTTGTGGGATTGTTTGAGAGCAGCTGACAGTAAAGTCAGTGATGGACAGGTTCTCAAATTTAAGGTTGGAATTTTGTGCAGATTAAAGTTTTTTTCTTTGGTTCACGATACTAACATTTACCAACTTCTAATCAGAAAAAGGACAAATTTGTCC